AAAAAGAAAACAGAAAAAATGCGTTTTGTTATGTTTTTTTGTCCTAATTTAATATCCACAGAAAAAATATGTCTATATAGTGAAAGAGAAAAGAAAATGAAAGATTGATAGAGAAAGAGAGAAAGAAAGAGCAAAAGAGAGGGAGACAGACCACTAAAAAAAACCTGTTGAGAGTTAATAATTTTTCGACTTCTTTTTTCCTTTTCTCGAAAATAAGCTGAACGAATGGAAGGACAACGGGCGTTAATTAGACAAGGCGCACTTCCGGTTCAACTAAGTGCATACCTATCTTGTGTTAGCTACGGCTTCTTGCTTGAGCAGCCCTGTCGTATTGCGCGCACAGCAACAAGAATAAATGGAGGGAAAGGTAGTCTAAAACTTACAACTTCCGTCCGATACGGTTCTTACTTGATGACAATCACATCGTTTGCATTTGCTCCTATAAAAAATACTTTTCCTCGCAAATATATAAAACGAATCGCAAATACAAAGTGATTAATGACAACTTGCACCAATTTATTGCGTTGATTACCAGACTAATGCTCAACAATTCACTCTGTAATTTCTCCTGTTCTGTTTGTCAAATTAAGAAACGCAAACTGATTTTATCTTCTTGAATTTATTTCAACAATTTTCTTTTCTTTTTCCAAATTGAAATTAGAAATCCTATTAAAAGTTCTTAACATGATATATATCTTTCGAGCCTATACTTTTGATTCAGTTAACAAAACTAACTTTTGTAGAGTCTTTTGACTGAAACCATTCATTATTTTTGACTAAAGATTGTTCGATTACGGAACACCAGAGAGCACTAATTGTTATTATTTACTTTTTTGGCCGTTAACAGAAAAAATTCGTAATTGTGTAAAGTAAAAAAGTACGGATTAGGTGCTAAGAGATCAAAGTTATAGTGATTTTGGAAGCGTTTAGAGGAATTGCAACCTTAGACGCATTTCATATTTCTTGCTACTATTTCTGTGCTATACCATATCTGTATACTATAGTACAGAATTATGGTAGCACAGAAATGGTATTAGCAAGACAAAAATTGATCAAGGTAGCTGATGAATTCCAGGCCGAAGACTCTTAATTTCGAGTCGGTAGCAGCAATCGATCATGAAGCGATCAGATAAAAGGGAAGAATTGTATGGGAGCACTTTGATTGACTCTGGCGAAGCTGCAGATAAGTTCACCGCATGGGGTACTGGTAATTATCGGGACATCGACGTTCGAGAATCTTTAAAAAGTGCCGATATATGCGCTTCCTTTATTGAACGGTAGTGTCATTGAATATAGTGTAATAATTATATAGTGACTTTTATATCCACTGCTGTGATAAGCATCCTTTACCACCGCCGCTGAGAGTCAGTACTGATTGGGGAATGAGTAATTCATTTATGTGTATGCCTGTAGCACCTGATGCGGAGTGATTCTTTATTTCGAATGTTTATTAATTTATTTGTATTAATGATATTGAATATTAGTCATGTTTCGTGTGAATTGGTATACTGGATCTATTTTTGTTTTTATTAAAAATGAGTAGATAATAATTTGTTTTCTTCTTTCTGTTCCAGGTGAGTCGGTTATCTTTGATCAATATTTGGAATGTTCGTTCGTTACTCATTACCAGCAATTTCGGTGAGTAATTTATTGTGTATCTTTAAATTTACGAACTGATGTTCTGTTTAGAAAAATTTAGAACCAAATAGAATTATTAATCAAATCTGAAAATTCGGAACATCTTGTAGTTGCAGACGAAATAAGTCTGCAACTAAAAGATGTTCCGAATTTATTTAATTTACGTATAGTTTTAAAACTGTATCTTTTCGAAAATTATTAGCATTTCGATGCTAACTACAGGAAGCTCTTTAAATTACTCAGTTAAAAGTTAATCAATCAGTATTATCACTGAGTGCTTAAGAGTACATTAAGTTTAAACAGACGCTTTCCAATAGCAACTTTGTCAGAGATAAAGATCATCTTATTCATTATCATGATGATCATCATATGGTAACGATGATGATTGTTGTGTGGTCATCAAAGTTTGCAGTATTTGCTGCGCTCCAAATCAGTTCAATCAGAAACATTTGGCTTGACAAATAGAATCCTAATGATGATAGGTTATCTCATCGTCTCGTCTATACCGTGACGATCAATCAACATTTGACCAAGATGATGCCAACCTGATAAAATCTAAATTATCAAACAAAATATTCATCTGCGATCATTGAGTTCATTGACCTCGGAGAAACATCTTCAATTACCGTATTTAAAAGACTATATATCAAATACTGTACTCATTTTCTCTGGCATATTAGTGCTAGCTCGTATTAAAATGTTCAGAGAGAGTATCATTATATGCACGCATTGTTAACTTACAAGTATTAAATGGCAACTAATTGGTAATCAAATTGCTGCTAATATTGATTCGTATTGCTACCGATCGATACCAAATTGTATATCAATTAGAATTATTAATCATTGTTACCAAATTTGATCCTTTTCGAAATTTTTAGCACTAGTTTGTTACAATTCGATAATAGTTTTTGATATTTTTGCGGCGACAATTCGTTTTAATTTTTGATACTCTTGGCACCAATTTCTTTCAATTTGGTATCAGTTTTGGATAATTTCAGTAAATTTCACCAATTTGCTACTATCGCTTTTGGATATTTTTGGAACCAATTTCCTATCAATTTTTGATACCACCAAGAGAAGAGTGTCCACAGTAAGATAGAATGGTCTCACCCAGCGATTGCATTAAAGCACAACAACTCGTTCTTACAATCCATGGGCGTGGATTTCTGAACTAAGTATCCGACGACAGCGCACTGAGATCAGCTGACGATTGGTTGCTAGCAGCATGTAGAGGCGGAACTTGGTTTACCCACCGGGCGTTTCGCCTTGACGTTCTTTTTACACTCGAGTGAGAAACCCAGTGGGGGAACCATTCTGAGCTTCCATCCACTGGAGGAGCCACACTGGTTCACGCAACCGCGGCGAACACTCTGGAGAACGCGCAGCCGTACCTCCAGTTCTGCCCAGTATACACACTTGTTACGGTGCGTTCCGTTGTTCGGCTCGTCCTCTTTATTGCATTTTGCACACATTCACACATACATACACATACACGCATACGTATTCATACTCGTACACATATACAATCGTGTACAACAACACATGTGTGATACACAACATCAACTCATCCAGATGGCAAGTCGTTGAGGTCAAGTCGTCGTCTTCTTGTTTGTTCTTCTTAATTGACGTGAGTGAACATTTGGTGAACTTTGTGCAATCTCATCATGAGCAAATATTAACACTTTGTGTCTTGATCGTGTTTTGAGCCTAACGATTTTTTCGTGTACAAGTTGACGTTTTGATCATCTCGCCAGACGGCGACGAGTAAACCTGTCGACGCATCAAGGTAGGTTCTTTATACGTTTGGAATTTTTGACTCACGGTTTTTTTTAACGCGAACGTTTTTTTATTTTTATACATTCAGTTTCGGTTGTTTGTTCCTTTTCTTGTTGTTGTTAAATTTGGTGTTTATTTATCACCGATCTGATTGTTCGTGGAATTTGTATAGTGTAGTGTTTACTCAATTCTTTTTTTTTTTTTGCTTATCTGGTGTTTATTGTTAGCATCGATTTGATACTTCTTGAAATTTTGATTGTATACTCTTCATTCAACTTTTGTGTTTTTTATTTATACGTTTACGATTAGTTATAGATATTGTTCATTCAATTTTTGTTTGCTTATCCGGTGATTATTTCTTTGTCGTCGATTTGATTCTATTAAAATTTTTGTTCTGCTGAATTTTTAGCTACTTCTTTTTGGTCATTTGTTTACAATCAGTTAGTTTGTTCTTTGAAATTTTTGTCGTAAGGTTTATTCAATTTGTTTTGCTTCCTTTGATGTTGTTTGTTTATTTATTACTGATTTAATCGTTTCTGAAAATTTAGTTATAGTTGGTTCTTCAATTTTTGATTATAAACGTATAGTGAACTTCATTGACTAGTTCATTCAATTTGCTTTTGTTCTCTCGAGTTTATCTTTTTATCATCAAAGTTCGTGGAATTTTCAAAACAAATGCAATAAATAGTATACACCAAATTCTGAATAGTATACCATTAAGTATAGTGTTTGTAAATATAGATCAAGTATATTTGTTGATGTTGAATTTGTTTTGCTGCTATTATACTTATTAGTTAAACATCAATTAGGATTGTTCCTAGTTCCTACAACTCTTTTGTATTATTCACTAAATTATTTCTGGTATTTATCTTTTGTTCTTTATGATTACTGAATTTACCTTTAAGCTTAGTGACAAACAATTTTGTGTTCCGTAGGATTGAAATTTGTTATTGATTTGGATCATGAGAATGATGTCAAATGGAGACAAAAATTTTAATCAGTTGCATATAGTTTTGGTATCACTTGATATACTTTTAGCATAAATTTGATACTTTTGGCATAAATTTAATGATTTTAGTATCATTTTGATACTTTTAGCATAAATACAATACTTTTGGCATAAATTTGGTGCTTTTAGTATCATTTTGATACTTTCAGTATTAGTTTGATACTTCTGGCATCGGTTGGATATTTTCGGTACCAGTTGGACACTTTTGGTCTTTGATACCAATTTGACACTTCTGGAATCGGTTTGAAATCACAGTTCTTCTAAGGATATCAAATTGAGACAAAAAACGAATCAAACGCTTTTGATTCGTTTTTTTGTCTCAATTTGCTCTCCTTAAAAAACCTACGATACTTTGGGTTTATACTTTTAAATCAAAACAATAAACGAATTACACCGAAAAAAACATCATTAACAAAATAATCACTTTCATGAATCAGCGCAGAATTTCAAGTATACATAGTATACTTTTTCAATGAAAACCATAAATAAAAACACGAAGCGAACAAAATCATTTTGATAATGAGACATTTATTATCCGCGTTGATTTCAAACAAATAACACCAATTTCGTGCAAACAATGTTCAGCTCTCACGTGAAAGGAGAGAATGCGCTTATCGGCGGCTATTGTGTATTCCACTTGAGCATGTATATAATTTTTTCTTTTTTTTTTTGAATCGTCTATATAGTTTCGACGATTGGATGTGTGAATGTAGAGAAAGAACAATAATGGACGATCGTAAAACATTCACACAATGCTTGTGATGCGGATTGTTGCAGTGTGTGTATGTGTGTGTGGGTTAATGTGTCTTATCGGTGTTAACTTGGTATCCCGAACTCTCACGTGATTGGTCGATTTAAAACTATATAATAGCAAATTATTGTCGAATAACCTTTCATTTGCAATGGAGTTAAAGATCTTTATCTAGTTGTATGATGTATCATCTCAAATGTTAACGAACCTTGTTTTGAATGATGTATATGTTAATTTCGGAAATTATTCTTCTTTTATTCAATTTCGTTTATTTTGTATGTTAACATGGGATTATTTTTGGAATCCCTATATCGCTGAACTTAGAATTGAAAATTTTGGTCAAAATCTTGATTATCATTATGAATAATAAAATTATTCTCAGAAATTCAATTATTTACAAATTTTATAAAAATTTCTTAGCAATAATTCAATTATTTATTCATAAATAATAAAATTCATTCATTTCAGAATTTCAATTATTTTTAATACAATTTTAATTGAATTCTTCGAAAAATGTAATTATTCTTCCAATTCTTATTAAAATTCGTCAAAAAATTCAATTATTTAAGAATTTGTTGATAAAATTCATTATGCGAATTCAATTTTAAGAAACATTCAGTTATTCAATAAATTATTTATTTTTTGTATTTAATAATTGAATTCTTATCAAAATTTCAATTATCTTTATAAATAATAAAAAAGTCTTCTCCAAAATTCAATTATTTTTAAATTTTAATAAAATTCTTGGCAAAATTTCAATTACTTATTTTCAAAAATTTTACTCAATTCAATGGTTTTCAATATCTACTATTTTCATAATATTTTGCAAAATAATCCCATTACTTAAAAAAGTTTAGATAAAATTCTATGCAAACGTTCAATTATTTTCATAAATAATAAAAATTACACAGGAATTGAATTATTTACAAATTTTTTATAAATTTCTTCGCAATAATTGAATTATTTTCATAAATAAAAAAATTCTTTTTAAAATTTCATAAATAATAAAATTCTTTAAGGATTTCAATTATTTTCATAAATAATAAAACTCATCGCAGAATTTCAATTATTTTAAATAAAAAATTTTAATGAAATTTCTCGAAATATGTAATTATTTTTATAAATCTTATTAAAATTCGTTGAAAGAATTCAATTATTAAAAAATTTTTTGATAAAATTTTTTATGAGAATAAATTATTTATTTTTGTATTTAAATAGGAATTAAAAAATTTTTAAATTATTTGAAAAAAAAAATTTGATGAAATTCTTTGCAAACATTCAATTATTTTCATAAATAATAAAATTACTCTGAGAAATTCAATTATTTTTAAAAACATTAATAAAATTCTTATCATAATTCAATTATTTTTTATTAATAATAGAACTCATTGCAGGATTTTAGTTATTTTTAACATAATTTTAAATAAATTACTCGAATATTGCAATAATTTTTCAGAATTTTATTAAAATTGATTCAAAGAATTCAATTATTTGAAAATTTTTGATAAAATTCTTGATAAGAATTATTATTTATAATTATTGGATAAATTATTTATTTTTCTATTTAAATAATTGAATTCTAGTAGAATTTTATGATAAAAATGGATTTAAAAATAAATCTTAGTTTAAATTTTAGATAATAATTATGAATATTGGAAGGATTGTAGCATGAATTTTAAGAAATAAATAGGTTTTTAAATTTTAAAAAGGTTTTAAATTAAAATTTTTGAAAATTAAAATTTTTATACTTTTAACTAACAATTTAGAAGAATAAATTTTTTTGGAAAAGTTTCATTGAGTTTTTTTGTAATTATTTTAAGTCTTTATTTTCTAATATACAATTGAATAATTCCCTAATAATCGATGAAATTTAGTAAAACTGAATTCCTGATTGTAAATAAATGGAATTGAAAATTCACAAAAAACTTTTTCAAAAATTATTATAAATAATTGATTTAGAGGAGAATGGTAGTTGAAAATTCGAAAATAATAAAGATTAAATATTGATTAAATAATAATTATAATAATTATAATAATAATAAATAATAAAAATTTTAATTGCAGAAAATAATAATTGATTTAAATGATGAAAATAATTTTGAAGATGTTACAGTAACAATATTTATGAAAATAATTGAATTATTGCGAAGAAATTATTATAAAATTTATAAATAATTGAATTCCTGTGAAATTTTGATTAATTCTTAATTAACGTAGAGTGTTTTCAGGACCTTAATTTTTGTCAAATAAAATTGTTTATTTAATTTATGTTTATGTTTTTTTTTATGTTTTCATTTATGTTTATGTTTATTTAATTGTTTGGACCCAAGGCCACAATATAAACAATTTTATTTAATTCTTAATTGAAATTTTGCCAAAAATTTTATTTAAATTTTTGAAAATAATTGAATTTTGGAGAAGAATTTATTATTTATAATGATGATTGAGATTATGACGAGAATTTTTTTTAATTTTTGTAATTGAAATTATGCAAAGAATTTTATTACTTTAGAAAGTATTAATTGAATCTCTGATGCATAATCATTTACAACTTCTCAAAAATTTATTTTCTTAGTGTTTTGAACTAAAATTCTTTTATAAATCCATTAGTTATTGATGTTTTCGATTAATTTTACAATTATAGCAATTCGTAAATAAATAAAAAAGAACATTTTTTGGAGTATCTAATAAATTTTACAGTGAATCATAGAATATTCTTTAGGGTCATAAAAAAAAATCAAATATTTATCTGGAAATCAGGGAAAATTTGAGGGAAAAAGTAAAATAAAATTTTTGCGGCAACCCTGTAAGACTTTATTGAATTAAATTATTAAATTTAAAGAATCGTTTACAAAATGAAAAAATACTGAACACGCGGTGAAAAAATATACAAAGTATTCAGTTTCTTTCCTTCTCTTTTTTGTTCTCTTCAAGTGCAGGATGATAACATGCAAATGAGAGGCTGAGAGGAAGATTAGTGACCCTGTGGCTCTGCGGGTGGAATGAAAAAAAAAACCGTAATGCACTCTATATATGAGAAAGCATATCCTAAATAAGGTTAGGCACACATACACAAACACAATCCAATTATGGGCGGGTTGTTCTCGACCCCGAAAGTAAATTGCAAGCCACTATATGTGTGTATACATAATGCACGAGCGTGTAATTTATTGGAACCGACAATATTCTAATTAAACACTCCAATTAATAAGGAAGCAAATTTATACCTCTAGGAGAGAAGTTGATATCGCGCGCGTATATATAATACTTGTTAATAATGTTAAGTTGGGACAGTTTTATCGACACGGATAGACACACGAAAAGATAATGCCAAGTTATCGTCACTCGTTTCATTATAGGAGTTTCAAGTTCTACTTCTGACGTGCGAGTATACACGTAAGAATTTCATTAGCTTAATTACAAGGAAGTGTAATTGCGAGGCAAAAATCGATTTATCCGCACAGTCGGGCTTGCAATTAGAGCGTAACGCAAGAAAAGTTAAAAGTCCATTTGCCTCCTATCTCCTTTTGCGCCAATCCATTATAATTTCAATTTTTAAATGAGCCTAATTCGACTATATCACCGGCAGTTTTTTTTTCTTTTTTTCTTTTTTTTTTTTTTTGCTCCAACCAAATGTAATTTATGCGAGTCGAATAAAAATTAAGTTTCCTCAAGAAATGCATACGGACAAAAATTTTTTTAAACAAATTTCGCTAATTTTGTAACAAAAATTAGCAAAATGCCACTCGACCTGGAAAACCTGGAAATTTCAGGGAATTTTATAAACCTTGAAAAAAAAATTTATTCCTGAAATTTAATTTAACTTAAATATTTTTGAAATTATATTTTTGAATTAATTCAATTTTAAAAGAATTGCGTTTACAATTTTTAAAAGTAGAAGAACTTCGAAATATTTTGATTTGAAATTTTGTGAAATTTCAATTTTAAATGAATTTAATTAGAAATATTAAAAAACTTAGATTTAGAAAAAATTTTTGAAACTAAAATTCTTCTGAAATTAGTTAAATGTTTTAATATGTATTTAATTAGTTATTAAAAATAATGGATTTATAGAAGAATTTTAGTTAAAAACACTAAAACAAATTGAGCTTTAAAACAATTACAAAATGATTGCAGAAATTCAATTATTTTCAAAAGTAGTAAAATTCCTCTTAAAAATTTAATTATTTTCAAAAATTTCATTAAAATTCTTGGCAAAACTTTAATTATTTTCAAAAACTTTCCTCAATCCAACGACTTTTATTATCTACTACTTTAATAAAAATTCACAAAAGAATTCAAATACCTAGTTAAAAATTTTTTTAAATAAAATTCTACACAAACATTTCAGTATTTTCAGAAATAATAAAAATTACACAGAAATTGAATTATTTACAAATTTTTTTTATAAATTTCTTTGCAATAATTCATTCAATTTTATAAATAAAAAAATTCTTTAAAGATTTCAATTATTTTCATAAAAAATAAATCTCATCGCAGAATTTCAGTTAGTTTTTATACAATTTTAATCGAATTCCTCGAAAAATAAAATTATTTTATAATTATTTATTATTTTAATTATTATTTATTTAAAATTATTTATATTCGTTGGAAAAATTCAATTATTAAAAAAATTGTTGATAAAATTCTTCGCTAAGATTCAATTATTTTCATAAATAATAAAATTTTCACAGCAATTCAATTATTTAAAATACAATTTTTATAAAATTTTCCAAAAAGACGTCAATTATTTAAAAAAAAAAATGTTTATAAAATTCTTTCCAAGAATTCAATTATTTTCATAAATAATAAAATTATTCTAAAAAATTTAATTATTTTTAAAATGGTTAATAAAATTCTGAGGAGAATTCAATTAT